TTCCTTAAATTAATAAAAGAGCACCTCCTAAGAAGCAAGACTCTAGAGTCAGTTATATAGCTCAGTGGCATAAGCGCCGCCTGGCAAGCACAAGGTCCTGAGTTTGGTTCCTGGTACCCACAAAAAAACAAAAAGAAGCAAGAATCTTCAAATTTTAAGTGAGAAGATGAATATTACAGCCAACTCTCCCTTGCTCCACTTTATTTTATTCAGGCCCCCCCCATAAAGTTTTATCCTATGACAACATAAAAATAAGTAAAATACAATGGAAGCAACTACTTAGTTCTTTAAGCACTCACACAATAGCAGCCATTAAATGTGGCATCTCAGTTATTTTAAAAACTCATTAGGTTTGAGGATACTGCAAAAGCACTGACGTAAATACATTTCTCTTCAGTATTTTCTACTCCCCGCTCAGTTCAACTTGTGGATTTCCATAGAGAATGCCTGCTACTGGCATCCAAAAACCACAATAAATCCTTCTATATACTCTACAGCACTGAACAATTTCACATTCTATGTTTTGAAACAGACTCACTTGGTTTTGTCAAGCAGCAAAAAACAACAAAAACATTTAGATATTCCTTCAGACTTTGCAGTGTGCAAAAATATGTATCCTTCATTAAGTATGGTTCTATTCTCTTAGCGTTCTCTCCCTCTCTAGTTACTCATGTCATTAAATTTCTCCTGAAATCATTTTATGTATTATGAAGTTAACTGAGTCCCTAGTATATGTTTACTGTAGGCCTATTTGCTGCAAATTTAATTCCTGCCCTCAGAAATTATGAATGTTTTTATCTCTTTATAGCAGCCAGTATTGAAAAAGACATCCTATGATACAGAGTGATGAATTAAGCATGTCATTATGCAATTGGTGTGTAGTGAGCTGTCTCTGTCCACTTGTGTCTTGAAAGGCTCCTGGCTGCTGTGCACTGACCAGAAACTCTCAACCACACTCCTGGCCTCCCGTCTTCTTCCCTCCGGCTCATTTCCCACCCCTAACCTGAGAGGGCTTCTTAAAGCACCAATCTCATAATGTACTCTCCTGCTTAAAACGTGCAATGGCTCCCCTCTGTCCTTGAGATCCAGAATAGATTTCTCATGTGATTCTTAAGTGCCTGCCCTCCTCTCCAGCCACACCTTGCATCACCACTCCCTAAACCTTCGCTTCGCTCCACCTCCACATCCTCCTCTGAGATGTCACAGGGCCTCACCAACACTTGCCTCTTAGCCTCCTTTCTATGCAGCTCTTCTGCATGCCTGCCCCACACCCCACACCCAGGCCACATCTGCACAGCTTCTGTTCATCGTTCACAGCCCAGGACCTCGTCAACAAGACCTTCCCTGGCCTTAACCCTGGCAAAGTCCCACTGCATCCTTCGCCCCCCATCCTCTGCTGTAAGCACCTCGTGCTTTCATTAAGGCTTATCTCGTTACCTCTGTTCCCAACAGGTCTACTGCACTAGCCTTGTGTGCTCCAGAGCCTCAGAATTTAACAAACTCATTGTAAGCAGTCAAAAATACATCCAGAATGAAGGAACAGTGCAGGACCTCAAGAAAATTACAATGTAGTGGTAAACTATACCAAAATATAGTGAAATCTGTCACATTATTGCCTTAGAGATGACACCTAAGTCTCTTGTATGAAAATATCATATGGAAAATATTTTAATCTGTAGGATATATTAATACAAATTTTAGTAACATATTTTACTGGAAAGTACAAAATATATAAAATGTTTAAAGTATAAAAATAAAATAAACACACTCATACTTGTGCCAAGGAAAAATGAAATTACCATATTCAAGAAGTTTGCTATATATCCCTCATCTGATTATGCAATAAAAGAGTGCTGTTTGTTTTTTGAATGACATTTCTTTATCAGCTAACTTAATCTTGGAATTGCCTATAAAATTCAACAAAGTACCAAAACAGCACACATATTTGAGCCCTTAGTGCTTATTTTTTCTAGTAATGTATAACATATTTCCTCAGAACATCAAAGGTCATCCACTCTCTGTTACATTTTTGTGATGGTGATCCTAGAATCAGCACCCTTAGTTATAAAAACATGATCACATATCAATGCAAAGCACCCATCATTTCATACTAAAGTAACTTATCCTAAATAAATTCATCAGGTACTTGAATGCCTGACATTGTGATACATCTTATCCTGCATTTTCTTAAACTAATCTTGCCTTCATAACTCAAATACACAATTTCTAGACATCAAATTCTTTTTGTTTTGAGTCAGAGATTCCCAGAGTATTTGAACTTGGTTGGTGGTGGTACTTTGTATAAATTATTTAAACATTGCATTTCATTATAAGCTACAGTACCATATTTCCACTCAGTAGCAATAATATTTTCTACATGAATCAAGTTGTTAATGTTTATGCAAAAGGAATATAAATGGTTGGGATTTTCCTAGGCATCCTCTGGACTCTGTTTGTTATTAACTGACTATCACATGCTTAGTGGATAAACTGTCTGTGGTTCTAGATCTTTTTTCTCCTGACACACCTTGAGCTGGAAAAGCTTCCTCAAATAATAGCTTAGAAGCTCTTATTCATAAAGAAAGTGGATAATAACCCAGAAATGCCCATGCGTTTTGGTCATCATGAATTTATGTACTATTAGAGAAAAGGAAGGAACAAAACAAGTCATAGAGAGACTGACGCAGAAATGACCAGAACTGAAGTGTTGAGTTATGATGCCTGCAGTTCTCAAGGCCAAGGGGGAGCCCAGAGAGTAGAGGAGTGACTTATACCTCCGGAAAATGTTTGCACTTTCAGGAACAGAAGAGATTTATTCTGGGCTGTCGTGGCTATGTGCAGATCCATATAAAATCTGAAAAAATAATAGTACTCAAAAGTCATTTTGAGCCATAATAGGAATATGGGTTGTCAGTCACATAGATGTAGCTTAAAGGTAAACAACTTTAACTTTCTGCATGAATTTTGTAGATGAAGTACAAATTTGGGGTTGGCTCTTGTCGCAAGAAAAATTTCACTGACAACTTTGTCTCAAGTGTATGTCAACGTGTCAAAAACGTGCTGTTTAGAGAAGGTGTGAAATAAAGAAATAACGCATTTAAGATATGAAATATTTAGAGAAGCCACTCAGGTTTTTCTTTCTTTCACTAAGCTAAAAAGGTTGCAGTTTTACTTCACAAGGTCATAAAACCATGATGCATGATATACGTATCAGTTGTATTTTTGAAAAAATCAGCAGCAGGTGCAGGAAGCCAGGTGCGCCGACTGCCAGTGAAAAGGAACAGGATCCCCAGGAAAAGCTTGTAATATTTGCACCTGGCCTTGAGACTGACGTTCTCCCCCATCAAACAGGGTCAATGCATATAAGAATAAAAAATAATGTTCTGCTGAAGCAGAACACCAATCAATGTTTTAATTTTAAATGGATTATTTCTTGTTTTTCTCAGCCTGCAAAAAATATAGAATATGTAGTTTGCCCTTTTCTTAGTAGCTGGGGTGGGGATTATTTTTATGTGATGGTGTTTACTTACCATTTGGGAATCCAAAGTACTAAATCCATTCTCTCAGACTCCCTTTTCCCTTACATGAACAACCCCCACCCTCTTGTGTGGATGACGACTGATGCAGGAGCACCAAATGGGAGTGCTTGTCAGTTTCCTCTTGCCTTGCAAATAGCACCAAGACTGTATAATGCCAAGAGATGGGCAGATAGAAGTACCAAATTTCTCAATTATTAGTGTCTTCAGGCAAAAAAAATCTGTATCAGTCATCACATGCCATACCACTGCACTGACAGCTCCTGGTAAAACTAAATCTAGAAGGAATGGGAAAATGGTGGGATTTTTGGGAGAAAGAACCTTCCAGATTAAGGAAAAATTGGACTCAGAATTTTCAGTAACAAAAAATTATTTTTGTTTGCTTTTTCTTTGAATGTGGTTTTGTTTGGCTTTGAGGGTCAGGGAGGGTCGAGAGTTTACTTACTGACCTCTTAATAATGTAGAACATTGCTGAATCTGACATAATGTAATGCTAAGCCTAAAAGTTTTGTTTTCTGCCTACTTGATCTCACTATGCAACCCAAGTATTGTTCCTTAAATCTACTAAGAGCCCTCTGAGTAGCTGCTAGTCATCCTGATTTTGGCCTGAGGCTTACTATATTTTCTGTGTGCAAGAGGGAAATAATTATAATGTAGTAAAGAGAAGTTATTTTTCTTATATGCAGAAAACACTGATGATCAAAGGATATAAAAAGTGAGGACATGATAATTAATATCAACTCAAACTGCCTATTACACCATGGATTTGTCTCCAAAAAATGAATTATTTGATATTTGCTTTTGACTAAGAACTACAAAAATCCCAGCGCTTTGATCCAAAATCTTTTCTAATCCTACAAATAAACACCTATCACTGGCACTTAATGCTTTGCTTCTCAAGTAAAAGTATGGATCCTGACCACTTAATGTACTTACTCTGAGAGCTGATTAAAGCAATGATTTTGCTTTTCTGAGTTTTTAAAATTAATTCAAATAAAACCTTGAAGGGAAGAAGGTATAGAAATGTGAGAGTGTGAACTATGCTTCAAAAATATGTCACAGCAGATAGAGGGATAGATAAGACAAAAGCAAGTACTGTATAATAAGAGGTTAGTGGTAGAATCTAGGTAGTACTGCAAGGTCACACAGTAAAGTTATTTTAACTTTACAGTTTATTTGGAATTTTCTATGATAAAATCCTGGAAAAGCGATTCAAAAAGGTCCACACCTAAAACTGAATTTGTATACTTAAGAAAATGTCATTGCAGAATAGCAAGAGATTGATTTAATGGATAACTGTGTTAGAGAATTCTTATTTTGGAAAATACAAATATTTTTAAGCATTTTTATGTTAATTATCTTGTAGACCAAGAGCCACCTTAAAGATAAAAAAGCTGGCATGATGATGGCAAAATTATGTTGTGCACCACTATTTCATTACCCAGCTAGTAAGTAACTTGGAATATCTATTTACCCAATTACATTTAGTCTTTAAAAATACTAAATATCCAGATTTATGCAAGTGCTTTAAAATGTAGTTTAATGGCATATTACATTTGTTCTCCGTTATTTCTTCTCCCCTAACAGTACACCTTTAGAACTGTGTTTGTTGACTGTAGGGATTGTTTGCTCACACCTAACCCAGCACCAAAGAGTGAACCCTATGGCTCCCTCTGTCTTACCAGAGTATGAACACATTGCGGGGCGGGATGGGTGTGTTGCGGGGAGGAGGAGCTGCAAATGTTTTTTTAAAAAGAAAAATGGAAGTGTTCCTTTTTTAAACGCCAGATTTAACAAGGCTTTCTGCCGAGGATTCTTCGTAACAGTGACATTTACCCTTCAGAAAGTTGATTTCCCACACACATAAGAAAAGTTGGAGATTTGGCAATTATCTTGTTAACTGGCCAGTTACTTTCTACTTGAAAGTTTCATCCAAGATTATGCCCTAAAAATGCGGAAATTCTCCAGCTCTTCTTCTAGGACCTTTGGAAGAAGCACATTCTTCTCCTTCACTTCTTGTTTTCTGTTTTCCTTGTTTCTTTGGCTCCCGCAGCAGGGGTGCGTGTGACACTGTGGATCTTGAATAAAAACAAGTTATGCAGGGAGAAAAAAGGAATGTGGGACTAAAATGTTGTCAAAGATCTGAGAAGTTTAATATTACAAGGGAGAGTCTAGAGGAAATGGGGCATATTAATGCAATAAACAACTCATTCCACTTTCCTACCACAGTTGCCACCAGGGACACGAGCAATAACTACATCATGAATCTCTACATTAAAAAAAATAACAAAAAACACTTTATTCCCGGAAACATAACAAAGGAAGAGTAAAACCCTGACCTGATCTTTTTTTCTGCAAAGTAGACTTTAAATGAATCTGTTCTATGGCAATCTTATGGGTCTCTTAAGCAATCATATTTTGTTTCCTTTTTTAATTATGAAAGAAATTCACTTTTGTTTCAAAAAGTACTCCTCTGTATAAAGAAAAAGGTATAATCCATCCTCCCAGAGAAAAAGATTTAGTATTTGGTATATGTTCTTCTAGATTGTTTTTCTACAAAGATACACCACACAATTATAAATTTTAAAAGAAAAACAATTTTTTCCCCAAAGAGTTTATTCTCTTACTCTGATGCTTTATGAATTATCACTCCTTCTTCTATGGTATCTGTGTTTGCACTGTTTTATTAGTAAATATTTTTAGTACATGATCTTTACATCCTTTGTGAAGAATTGCTATATATACATAATATACCCAATTCCTTTTTCTCACCTCCTTTCCCTTCCTCGCCCCCCTATCCATCTCTTGATTCCCTTTTTTATATTTTTTGTTCATGTTTGCAATACATAATGTTTACATTCTTTGTGGGGAGTTGGAATATAAAAACTAGTTTCCTCTTCTTAAACTATAAACATGCTCAAGACCTTTATACAAAGAAGAAGGGAAAAAAAACCTATCTTTTCCAGTATTTTTCCCATCTTTTGTCTGTGAGCTGCAATTTTTTACTCCTTCTTTCTCTTTTCAAGCTTCCTAAGGGAAAAATGCGTCTTTTCTGACTACCTTCACTCTCTCTTAACAACATATTCAGTAATTTGACCTGGCTTCCACTTCACCACATCTATCCCAGTCACTCACAATTTCCAAGTCAAACACAGGAGAAGTCACATTTGTCTCCTTCTTTAGCTTCTTGTCACCATTTGAAACCAGCTAATAGTCTCTTTTCTTTGACCGTATTCCATTAGTTTTCCTTCTATACTTCCAGCCACTCCTCTTCCTCCTCCTTTACTGAGTTTTTTTCTTCTGCTCATTCTGACTTCAGTCCTCATCTCTTGTATCTCTACATTTGCTTCTTTAATAGGCTCATTCACTCCTGTAATTTTAATTATCCCCACGAATCCATGTGCCTTGTCCTCAGCTCTCTTCGTAATATGGATCCGTATATCCATTGGTGGACTGGGTCTTCCCACTTGGATGAGTTTTCCAAAGACACCACAACCTCAATAAATACCTTGTCAACATGTTATCTTCTTTCCCAATCCTCCACCTTCTCACTGATGCTTTGTTCAATTTGCTCTAAGGAAAGACTGCAGCAGAGTTTAGTGATGCATCCAGAATGTGACTGGTTTAAAAAGGGAAACAAAGTAAGGACCTGTTCCTAGTGAGTACAGTCCATTCTTTCAAGTTTAACAGTGAAGAGAGAAGAGAGAATAAAGTCTTTAGGATGACACAGGCAGGAGGAAATCTCTGAGCAAGTTTTCAGGCTGTAGGAAGGAAAGTAGTTGGAGAAGCAGGTGAAGTTTGGGAAAACAAGATAGGAATTGAATTCTGAAAACACTGAGGACAGTAGGAAGGCCTTTCCTTCCTGCAGCTTTATTATATATTCTGGGTATGACATTTGCTTTAGTAAATTCGTGTCTAATATACAACCTCACTGCAATACTGAATAAGTAATAATACACAGTTATGCAGTATTTATATGACACCTTCAACCTTTACATTTATTTTGACATCTACAGCTAGGCAAAAGTGGCAATTGGTGCTAATTTGTATGATTGCCTAAATCAAGTATTTACTTCCTCTCAAAATTATATACATATATATTCCATTCCTAGTGGGTATGAAGAATCCTTTGAATTCAATTCATATAAAACTAGTACATTTCAATTAAACTCTAAGTTTCTGATACACTCATATTCTGAGATGAACACATTACCTTATTTTTTAAGTCTCTATGCCATCATATTTTGTTGCTGTTAATCTCCTTGCTAAATTTTTCTGTGTAGTACATTCTGTATCTGCAGCCATGGCATGATTTTCCTGTAATCCCCAAGTAAAATGACTTATCTGAATCCAATGATTTAAACCTATTTTTCTATTCTACTTATGTGGGAGAAAGAAAAAAGGGGCAGGAAGGAGGAGGTGGATGGGATTCAAAAGAGAGGCAAAAGTCTAGACAGCAAAAGTTCCTGGGGAGGCTCGACGTTAAGAAAACTACGGATCTAATTGAATAGTATTTAAAGTTACCAACACTAACAGAGAACTAGATCATTCTCTATCTGATTAGTCAGAATTCAGACTAGCATGGACAGCGGGGAGATACTGTAGTACTTGGGGTTTCAGAGATTGGGCGGCTATCCTGAGCTGAAAGCTTCTTACAGGGAGCAAGGCACTGTCAGCAAATGGTGACTGTTTTCCTTCTCTTTCCCTTCTCCCATCATAAAGTGTTCACCATCCTAGCTCCTTACACAGATGCTCCCCCTCCGCCCCCAGCTGAAAAGTGAATAGTGCGTAAAATCAGCAGGGAGCAGGCAGTTTGCTAAAGCTGGGACAGAGAGGGCTCTAACCTCTTTGACTCAGTTGAAATCCTCAGCTCCAGTGTCCTGCCAGGGAGGTGGGAGGAGCACAGGAAGTACTACCCTCTGGCTTCTCCTCCCACAGAAGCCCTGCCCCCTCACACTTGGACAGTGCAGAGATTAGCTTTCTTCCTCCTTCTAGCTCAGTCCTTTGGCTAATATGAAAGACCACGCAGAAGCTCTGGACTTGCTGCTTGTGCTTGTCAAAAGTGCATAGATAGAAGACAGGGCTTCCCAGCTGGGAGGAGGGAGGAGAGCTGAAGATCCCTGCCTGGGCTGGCTGATCTAAACAGTCAAAGTGGGCAGCTGAGTGCTTGAAAGAGGATTATGCTCGCACTAGAAATAAGCAGTAAGTGAGTGACTACTGGCTTAGAAAAGGATTAATCCCCTGGGGTTATGAGGTAAACTAGAAAATATTGCTTAATTCTAAAGTAAAACTGTAAGACTTCTGGCTCTGTGTTCTGTTGTGTGCTGTTTGGAGTTTAGGGGCTTAAGTACAAAAATCAGAGCTCTAAATGCCTCCTCCCACTCTTACAAAATGCCAACTTCTATTTAGTTGGGGACCATAATCTCCTTCCCTTACCTAGCCTCTTCTCAGGAAATTTGTTAGTAAATGAGATAAGGAGTTGAGATTAAATTCGAAGGGTGGAATTTGATGTTGGCAGAAATTGAAATTTTGAATTATGCTCTCTGAGTACTGACATTATTATATCTATTAGCAGTTATTGTGGAGAAATTCTGAAGCAGTGAGTTAAACAGGGAAAATTAAGAGCTTTTATGACAAGGAGGCTGCATAGTCCATAGGCAAGGGGTTAAGTACAAAAATTATGTAATAAGTAATAGATGGGGATTTTTTTTTAAAACCACTGGAGGAAGTAGTCAGGAAGCATTAAAATGCATAGATAAAAATTCTATAGGAAAAGAAATTTTCATTTCAGACTTCTGTGCTAGCCAGAAATTTCACAATGTTTACAAAGTCAAGACAATGATTCAGGAATACTTCAATTATTGTTGTACATTATTAATACTGTTCCTGGGCAAGATCTGTGGTTCTCTGGTCAGCAAGTTCTGGCAATGAAGCCACTGCCGCTGTTGCAAAGAATTCTGGGATGTCTCACACTGAAATGGATGGAAGGACTCACATTCCATCTCTACTTAATGTCCTTTTGTCCAGAAATCGGGTCATGCAAATGAGCTACTTGGTACGTATACAGATCAATATTTGGAAAGGCATTTCTAAAGGTTTTGCATTAGAGGGTCTCTGGACAATATCTGATGGCAACCAGTGGACTAAAAGGATACAAAAGCAAAAAGATAGGAAGTCAGCTTGAGTGAAACCAACCTTGTTCTTTTTGTTTTTTATCAATCCTGAAATGGAGCCTCAAATGAGGACAACAATAATAATAGAGAGAAATACTGTGGCCATCTGTTCTGTTCTAAGTGGCTAAGTTCATTAATGTATGAATGAGAATTTTTATTTTATTTATGCATACTAATACTTGAAGATTCAGAAATTTCTTTATTACAGGAAAAAACCCACAAAAATAGGTGCTCTGTTTGGGAGAAATAAAATATGTAAATTCAGTTTTTGAAATATTAGAAAAAAGCAAGTAAGAATTGTGTCCCACAGTGTTAAGAAGATTTATATCATGGTCACTGAAGAATATATCTCTTTCCCTAATGAAATAGGGATCGTACCATGCACACTAAAGTGTAAGAAATATTTTTTGTTACTAATTGTAGCTGCTGTGGTTGATATCTACAGCAAGGACTTATTGTTTTAAACTTGGATACAGCTAACCTATAATTATTTTTATTTTCCATTTGTTTTGGTATAAAAGATTTATGACATTTCTAGTATTCTCATCAGCTGTTGTACTGGCGGGAGGAAAAGGACTCAGACATATCACCATTCTCCTGTAACACATCTATAAAATAGTTGCCACGATCAATGTCCTTTTCTAACAATGTACAATTATAGGTCTTGCGGCAGAGGGGGATGGGGAGTGGTCATTGGGACCAGTAATAAATACAGTAATAGCAAAGTGCTAATAGAGTATATTTTTAAAGATGGTCTGTGTTCTTTTAACTTTTAAGCTACCTAATTTTGAAGTTTATCGTATCTTTTAAAAGTTATAATATTGACAATGTGAACACTTTTGAGTTGCGTAATACCTCTCTTATTCTTAAACATAGATAAGGCGTTAAAGTAAGATATTTCATAGTCTCACCCTTAAGTATAGTGTAATTCTCAATGAAGTTTCAGTCCTTAAAAAAATACAGTAGGGTTCTTCAAAGAGTTACTTACTTACCTCAAAGTGTTAAGGAATCTTTTCTGAAACTATAGAATAAGTGAAAAGTATAAGAATATTGGCAAAAAGTTATTTGGATGACAGGATCTAAGGAGGAAAAATGAATAATGATAAGGTAGTAATTTAAAAGTAAAAACATCTATTGTACCTGAGAGACTGACATAGAGAATAAGGCATCATGACTAGTGAACATTTATCTTCTAAATATGTTAAGTAAGAATTAAGACTGTTAATGGAAAGAAACTAAATGATCATTTAAAATTATTCTTTCACAAGAAAAGTAAAGAACAAGGATATGGAAAACTAAGCTGTGATGAAGACCTCGAAATAATTGTTGATCAAAAGCAGGTAAGTGAATGCTTACATACATTTTCTATTGTTGCATTGTCGATTTTTTACAATCTAAGCCCTCTGGATGTTCAACTCTTCTTTGACAGCTGCTTTAGCCTGCTATGAGGCCTGTGTAATGAGACAGATTTTGGGAGCAACTAAGTTTTCCCCATCATGTCTGTAACCCTACCTGTTTCTCATGTTCTGTATGTAAAAATGATAAGAAACAAAGCTAGAACAAGATAAGAAAACTTCTGGAAAATTAAAAAGGCTCTATTTGGTAAAATGAATCAAAACAACAATGATAATTTATTTGGTTGGGAAAAAAGATTTAAATAAGAACAAGAGAAAATGGTATTTTGAAAATGTGAAACACTACCATTAAAGTATCTTGTAAAACAATGGATATGATTTAGAGGGAGGAAGAAAAAAAGCACTGAAAATTTGAAAACTCTAAATGTAAATTTTGTCCAATTTACTTTCTCAGATTATCTACAGTAAATTTTAAAAACACAGAGAAGAGGCCATTTAACAGTCTGTAGTACTGCTCATAATTTGAGAAACCTCTAGCCTGGTTGTTAAATGGGCCCATAAGGGGAAATGAAAACTGCTTAACAGACCATAAACAATGACCTACCAGGTAGTGGACAGCATCCATCCCGTGACACTGAATTGGCACTAGCCCTTGACATCTTTGTTAATTATCAAGGAGGCAAGATAACTGCACAGCTATTTGATGTATAAGCGCTGCTGAATCTGAGGATGATGTCAGCTCAGGTGCTGAGAGAGCGATAATTCAAAAGGATCTGAGTAGATGAAGGATTAGAAAGAAAGCAGTCAGTAATTTACAGAAGCCCATCTCATTGCGTTTGGACAATTCCCTAATCATTCAGTTCATTTTGCATCATGGTGACTGCGTTAAAAGAACCATTGTAAATTTCTGACAAAAAGGGGAATGATCACCAGAAGATAGTGGCCAGAAGAAAGTGATTTAGGGATTTGTTTGGTAGACTTGGAATAATGAAGGCGACTAACATGGTTTTCTAGGGAAAAACAGTCCAAAACCCATCTCCTTGGAGGTGCAGAATGTACAGTCCTACGGGGTTTACTCAAACTGCCTGCGGGTTTTTCCTGCCTTATCACCACTCTTGCTCCTCAGTCGACAGGGGAATGTGTGGACTTGGCCCTGTGTTTTGCTACTCAGTGTCCTATTTGAGTTTAGCTTAGTTAGCTTAGTTAATAAAGTAAGTGGTACTGGGCCCCCAGTACTCCATTAAACTATTAATTATTATTTTGCCAGATTAGTTGGGGTTTACAGTGTGTATCTCCTGCTGATCCTACCCATTAACTGGACCAACCTGGTCAATAAACTAGCAAAATATAAATTGTATGTGAGTATTTTATGAGAACACAAATATATATATTTCTCTATTAAAAGAAAAATTGCTTTTATTTCTTCTTCAATCATGTAGAAGATGAATTCTTTTTTCTTCTTTACTGTCTTCCTCCTCAGAGATTTTACTTTCTTTGCTTTTGTTATTGTTTTTGCTAAATATTTGTATTTTACCAAAATTTTGGTGTTCAGACAGCTACAAAACTATACATTGAGGTAATTGGAGTGGAAAGACCAAGGAAGTCAGGGTTCTTTTTTTCTCATGGTAACTTTTAGAAACTTTATGTTCTTGTGACTAAACATATTTTATTAACTGTTAGGGAATCTTAGGAAAAAAATAAAAGAGGAAGAAGAAGCAACTGTCCTTCTTCATCTGAAAACAACACTTTCCTTACAGGATCGAATGACCCAGTTTCTTCAGAGCCATCGTTTGCCTCCAGTTATTACAATTCTTCCAGGGTTGCTGGGCAAGGTAGTACCACTTGGCAGTGACCCAGCTTTGCGGAGACTTTCATGTCAAAACATGTTTCAGAAAATGAGTAATTGTGAATATGAGTTGGCTTCGGTGGTGGTTGTTGGCAGGGAGAGAAGTCCTTCCCTGTTTGGGAGGATTTGTTGGTGTTGTTGCAAGCAAATCCTAGATTGAAAGAATGACAACGTTCATACCTTAAAGTACAACATTTGGGAAAACACGTAACTATTGTTTATGAACCTATAAAAACACTCCTCAGTTTAAGAGGTATGGATCTAGGTGTGCCTATGCATGCAAAAAAATTGCTTTCCAGAAATGAGATATTGCTTCATTTGATAGATATGAGGTTTTATATGCATGAGATGAATTGATACATATGTGAATTGTCGATGTATAATAAAGTTAAAACTCTTTAGCATTACATATTATTTTGTCAAGAATCTTTATGTTTAATCTATGTCTTTTCAAAAACATGGTAGAAATTTGTTGGTCAGTCTTTATATAATTGCTAGTAGCTTTTTCAGGAAGTGATGCCAAAATAAATTCTAAGGAAGATAAATAAAATAATTGGGAGTGCTGTGATGGGCAGAAGTTGCCTTATCTCATTAAATCCATCACTCAGACGCTGTCATTCTACAAATGCTGTATAAGCTATATGCTGTTTTATCAGTCATATGATTTGCAAGTCTTGTACTTCCAAAGAAAGCCCATAATCTTGCTTAAGTAAGCAAATTAATATAAAAACAGTACATGGTAATATGGAGTTTGTTCTCCCCGGCTGCTTTCATCCAAGGGAGCAAAATATAATTCTGTGTTATTTCCACATGCAAAAAAGGAATGTATTTTGGAAATGTTTAGCATTGCTTTGAAAGCCAATGTCGTGATGCTGTATGAAATTTTATTGGCAAAACTTATCTGTAAAGCATATAAAAACATCCCAGAGAATTCTTAAATTTGTATTGAAGTCCTAAAATAATAGGTGCCATATCATATATATAAATATATATATGCATACACATGTACACACAGAGTCATTTATGCATATCACATTAGGATCATAGGTCATATTTTCCACAGAAATTCTCAGAATTTTCAAACTTCAAACATAGGAAAGTAATCAAAGAAAATGTGTTAAATTAAAATGTTAATACCCGGGGCTGGGGATTTAGCTCAGTGGCACAGCGCCTGCCTGGCAAGTGCAAGGTTGTAAGTTTGATTCCCGATACTGGAAAACAAAGAAGAAGAAATTAAAAAATAAAATTTTTTTAAAAATGTTAATACCCTTAAAACTCAGATATTTGACATATAAATAATATATATATATAATTAACAAATACATATTTGGCTTCTGAATAAATATTAAAGAAGGAATTTTAAATGTATATTTTTGATCACTTTAATGTGAAAATATTCTTTCCTGATTGGAGCAGAGGACAGTCTTGTTTAGAAATAATTCTGACGTGAACAAAAATCTCCTGAAATTAGACATTTTGGGGATGCAGACTGAGGAGTAGATGGCCAAGTATCTTTATTACAGAATTTAAAATATTAGCCACATTGAATAAATAATAAGTTCTTTCTATTTTAAATTGTTGTGGCTTTTTAACTCAAGGTTCATTATATGATGGATCTAGATATCTTTTTCTCAAATGTTTTCAAGTTCCAGACAGACTTTAAAAAGGTAACAAAGATAGACCTAAAATTATAGAATATTAGGACTATGTGAAAGATAAAAGTACAAATTCAAGCACTGAATAAATTGGATGCTGAGGATCCAGTTGGTTATAGAACTCAAAGTTGTAGCTATGCATCCTTCCTTGCAGTAAGGTGAGGAAATGTCAAATATCAGCTAGCTACAAGGGGAACAAATGTGCCTATGTCAGAGCCGTAGTTTCCAAGCTTTGGCTGTCTCAGATTCCCCTGGAGGACTTGCTGTAACACAGATTGAGACCTGAGGACTTGCATTTCTGACTCCTTGGCTAGTGTTACTGGTTCCAGATCTCATATCAAGAGTCATGATCAGAGAAAATAACTAATGCAGTCATAAAGAGGAACAAAATGTATAAGACTCATGATTAATGTTCTTTACCTGGGCATTGTCTAGAAATCTAAAACAGAGAGTTCAAAGACATCCAACCTAATGATACTGAAATTAAGAAAACCACATCCATTTACAACCAAAATCTCCTTTAAAGACTCAAGATTGCTGCACAGCTGAATTCCATGTGGTAGCCGTGTGATCCTGAACGTGAGTTCAGTTCCCTTCTTTGTAACATAATACTGTGTTCTTCCTATTTCCGAGAGTTTATCTGAGATAAAATATATAAAAGTCCTTTATAAAGTATAAGTAGTGTGTTATTTTAATTAGCTAGCCAGCCCCCCACTCCCTCCCACCCCCCCTACTTCAGTAAGCAGGACTTTGAGATCTAGAAAGATGAATGGAGTTGCCTGGGTCTCTGGTTAGGTACACAGAACACAGGAAGCCAGCTCCCTCTCCTGATGTCATCTGATGCTGTTGCTGTCACCTCCACAGAACTCTGCACCATTACCCATTGCTGGTCATCCTGTAAATGGGTTAAGAAACTTCTTTGCCTCAGTGCCCTAATTATACAAAATAACCATCTACTGGTACTTACTATAACTGGCCATGATTTAATTATGGAACCCTCACAGGGACAAACTTCTCCACAAACACTTCTTAACTGTTTACTTCCCCATTGTCCCTGGGCATTGTGAAGAGAGAGATGCCCTTGCAAATAAGCATGTATAAAATTAGGGCTAGAAGGTGGTTTTTGATGACCACTTCCCTTTCCTTTCAGTCTTCTAAAGGAGGGCTTATGACAGGCCTGAGAGAAGCACCATGGGAAGAGACAATGTACGAGCCCAAAATGTTTCCAAGCAAACTGATAAGAGAAGCTTGAGCAGAAAGCTCTGGACATTAAAACTTCTGTGATCTTTTTCTAAAGCAAAAGAAGAGACAAGGTATAGCCACCCCCTGTGTCTCCAACAGTTCATGAGCAATTGCATAGGATGGCACTTCTATCCCAGTGGTCATTGTGGGAATCAATCCTAAAAGGAAATAAAGGCCAACATGAAATAAAAATGGAGGAGCAAGGAAAACAGGTTAACTGGAAAGACACCCAGCTTCTTTCT